TAGTACCACTGTAAAAGCTATCACATACGTGGTGCAACTCCGATAGCTGTTTTTGTTGGATCAATAGCGCCGATTGCGGTCTTCGTCGGGTCCGGTGCCCCAATAGCAGTTTTCGTCGGGTCAACGGCGCCGATAGCTGTCTTGGTTGGATCAACTGCTCCAATAGCGGTTTTGGTTGGGTCAGCCGCAGGCATGCCAATTGCAGTTTTGGTTGGATCAACTGCCCCGATAGCGGTTTTAGTCGGATCAACCGCTCCAATAGCAGTTTTTGTTGGGTCAACTGCTCCGATCGCAGTTCGAGTGAAATCGCCAGTGGGCATGCCAATTGCTGTCTTGGTTGGATCTACTGCTCCGATAGCGGTTTTAGTCGGATCAACCGCTCCAATAGCCGTTTTCGTTGGGTCAACTGCACCAATAGCTGTTTTCGTTGGATCAACTGCTCCGATCGCAGTTCGAGTAAAATCGCCAGCGGGCATGCCGATTGCGGTCTTGGTTGGATCCACTGCCCCGATAGCAGTTTTAGTCGGGTCAGGCGCTCCAATAGCCGTTTTCGTTGGGTCAACTGCTCCGATCGCAGTTCTAGTGTAATCAGGAGTAGGCGCGCCGATAGCAGTCTTGGTCGGATCGACTGCCCCAATAGCTGTTTTCGTTGGATCTACTGGAGCTGAAACGAAGAATCTAAGTAAATAACTGAAAGGAAAACGAACACAGAAATAGCGACTTAAGCATAAACAGAAAAAACTAGAAACTTAGCTGTATAACTAGCAAAGAAAGTGAGTAATGCTAACCTTATCTGCTAATTCGCTGGGATACAAGATAAATTGTCTTTCCTCCAAATAAAAAACTAATATAAGAATAGCAATTTCACTCAGACAGTTGGTGAGAGTATTCCATGTTACTGATGTTACTAAAATGCAGCCATGCCCATCTCCAGCTAAGCTACTGGAGCAAGGTGCAAAAACAGCATTAATTACAAAATGTGGCACGAAGGATAGACGTAAACGAGTTAAAAAAGTTATTCGTCTTTGCATGCTGATGGGCTGTTGCTTCGATTTACAGTAGTAAACTAGCGAATGA